TGTTAATGAGTGAACTGGAGATACAAATAATTGTTGGCTGCAATCGCAGCGTTCACGTTCTAGGTAGTGTTTACCGTCTTTGAAACAGGCAGTAAGAGCAGTGTGTTATCGCAGTCATTTCCAAATAATGTTAGGGTACATTCCTTTCACATGTAGATCACATTCAGAGCAACATACACTTAGGGTCATTGAATGGTCAGGGCTGGCAGCTCGAGTTTCTTTTTATAATCCGAGGCATTTTGTGGTCGTGGCAAACTGAACTGGGCAAGTTACACATCCGAGTATGAATGTGGAGAAGTGGCGGCTGTTTTTTCATGCTCACACAGCGGTGGGCTGTAGAGACTAATTCTTGGTTTTGTTTTAAACATTTTGCCGAGCAGGACCTCTGCGACAGTGTTTTCCCCGTGTAATTAGACATGAGGTTTTTTTAATGATACTTTAAGGACCTTTAGTAAGTATTTGTTGCTGTTGTTTATAGATTCTGTGTCTAATATTTTACATGTTATCTCAGGCTTTAGTGCTTGTACAATATTATCATTCTATCTTCTTTTATATAACATCACCACAAGTTGTCTACAGAGCGCAGAGGCAGTTTGGGCCTCGACCCAAAACTGATATCAGCAGACACGATTTCTCTTCATCTAATGACAGCAATCCAATGCCATTGGCAACAGTCAGGAGATGTCTAAGAAACTGCTCCATTCTGGCATCCGCTCAGCCTTGACGTTAATCTTCCTGTCTTATGAACTAATGTAATTACAGCAGATAATTACATGTTATTTATGGACTGTGGTGACAACAAATTACATTTGGCTTTTGGATTTATTTTTCTGGGTGTAGGTTAAGCACAGTGTCATTATCTCAAATATTTGTGTTTCGTCGAACTGCGAACTTTAACTGCCGTACAAAAAGTTGCTTTTTAAGAAAGCCGCCCGAGTGATGTTGCTGATCCTGGATGTCGTTTGGGTTAAACTGAATATGTATTCTGTGGGTCAAAACAAAGACAGTTAGGTTGTGTGTGCACCGTTCTGTCTCACATCTCATTAGAAAATACAGAGACTCATCGCCATGGCCTCGACACTTGTGGATAATAATTACACTTCTGTGTGTTAGTTTTTGTGTAGTTCCATCCCTGTTTGAATAAGGTATAACAGCTGATTTTTTTTTTTTTAGATATGTACAAAACAGTTTTTTAGATTTATTTTTCCCCTGTCTTTTCTTACTAACAACATTAACTAAACATAATACCACAAGTCAGAAGTGGGGGACGGTGTGTCATACTTCATACAGTGTCATAAAGTCACTAACTATATAAGTGGATCGAAGGAGAGAGAGTCACCATAATTCAATACTATTGAATTATAACAAATTCAGCACAGAAATAGAATGAAAGTGGGTTTACTGATAATACAGAATAAGTAAAAAAGATCAATAATTCCATCCCATTAATAACAACAAAAGGCACAATGGGAAACGAAGACAGACTCGTCAATTGTCTGTCTCTTGGTCCCATGGTGACCAGCTACTTTATTTTTTGGGGGGAAAAAATATTTATTTTTTTAGAATATTTGGGCACAACAACAGAGTTTTACTCTAGTACTTTTCTTTAGATTTCTGGTCAAAGAAATGTCGTACACATAAACATAGTTTTCTCTGCGGTTACTGCAGTACAATCGGAGAATACGTTTCCTAAAGCAAATCAATAAAGGGCAAACCCGCGTTTCTATGGTACATGAAAATCTCTCGGTCTTTTTTTACATACCATAAGTCACTTTCAGTGTCAAATATAATATATATAATATAAATATATATATATTTTTTATAATATATATATATATATATATAATATATATATAATATATAATATATATCATATAAATATAATATAAATATATTTAATATCCTTAAATATAAGGAAGCTCAACAGTGTTGACATCGCAGGAACTGTGGGTGCCACAAAAGCAACCACGAAGCTGTTTTTTTTTTTTTTTTTTTTTTTTTTTTTTTTTTTTGCTTTATCAGCATAAACATATATTAAAATACATCTACCACAGTAGGTCAAACAGCTTTCACAAAGAATTGATATTTTGACATGAGGCATTCTACTGGTCTGGAACGAGAAACTGGTTCAAATGACTAGAATCTGGGCAAGTCAAATGAGGCACTGTGGATATACTGTCGATTTAGAAAGTTGGGAAAGTATTTAAAGCATACGTCCTGGACGATAGGCCGGCCTCACTTGCTCCTGGAGGCTTGAGTCCAATCAGAGGGCTGAGTAGGGCTGAGAGTAGCTAAAAATGCATTTGAATTTATATTGTTAAATTCATGATTCAAAACATCCCCATGATTTCAGAATGGCTGGATTTTATTGAAATTGAGACTTCGGGTTTTCAGTACTTACTTTGAAAATGAGAGATATACTGGTTTAAGGTTTCCTTCTTTTTTTTTTTCTAAAGGTGTTACAGATTGTCAAATAGCCATGCTCAAAGTGGGCACCACCAAGGTGGGGCTGCCCAAGTCGGGACTCCAGGAGCGTTCCAAACAAACCTCCCTTGCCTCGTCTTCTTCAAATGGGTCCATAGGCATGAAGACCTCCAGATCCTCAAACACGCTTGCCGCAGACCAGCGCCTCAGCAGGGTGAGTCAGTAGCACACTGCACTCTGCGTACTATGTTGTGACTTCAGCTGAACTGTCATTGTCATGTTCTCAATGTCATAATGTTGACGTTAACAGCAAATGTGGTTTTCAGCTGAAGAGAGCGAGCAGCGACGACGCTTTGGCAAAGCCAACGCTGGTTGCTGCAGGCTCAAGGATGAAGAAGACTGTAACCACAGGAGCCATCTCAGATCTGGCTGATGCTCGACCACGCAGCCTCTCTGGTAAGGTTCAGTTCCTTTCAACAAAATGTATGGTTAAAAAAAAAAAAAAAAAAAAAGATTGTCACACTTAATTGTTACTTAACTTATGAGGGGTACTCCACTCCCTCAGTCCCACGATTCAAGGCACAACCTTTGATTACAAGCCCAACACTTTAGGCCACAGACTGCTCCCAAAAGATTATTTATCAGTGACGTCAAAGTTTTAAAAACCTCACTCTTCCTAATCACCCCATTCATCATCACTTCCGCCAATTTTTGTTGCAAGATATCCTTGATATCCTTTGTAAATGATAGAGGAGGTGGACTGACTCTGAAATTTAGTTTCTAACCTTTCTGTTATTTTGTTTAAAAAGCCTATTTCACTGGTTCATATTTTGAGGACAGAAAAGAAACAAAAACAACAGCAAAATGTAACTCTACCTGGCAAACTATTGTATATCACAATATTAATATACGGCTTAGGGCCACTAGAGGGCGTTATCACATAATAAAAGAACACTCCTTGTACTCTGTTTACTAGAGTACTAACTCTTGTGCTTCTAGGAGAGCCGGAGAAATTATTTAAGGCAGAATGTTTAGTTTTACCTCTAGCATTTACCTGGGTGAAGAGCTAAATAAGTAATAATAAATATAAATGAGTAAAGTGAAAAAAAAAAAACTTAATAAACCTGACATAATGAATAATGATATATGTATGGCAGTTGGTAATGATTTGAATTTGACTGCAGAAATTAGATTAGTTTTATCTATGTTATTGTGTTGATCCTTTGTTGTAGGAAATGTCTCTTTTGCTTAAAATAATTATTGCGTTGGATAATGAATGTCTTTCCCTCTTATCACATCCGAGTTCAAAACAAGAAAAATATAAATAAAATATAAAACCCTTTTTTTTTTAAATAAGCTGTTATACAGTGTGAAATTATAAAGGAAATATAAATAGTTCTAGTACAAATCTAGAAAACTGCTATTGAAAAAGAATTAAGCTTAATTAATTCAATACCACCAAGTCCCAGTGAGGGTTTTTCCTCTGGAAATGCATGTAGCGTAAAAAACGAAGCATGTTTTATATATATATATATTATTTATAAAAGAGCTCAATATAAAAATTCCTCAGTGAGATTTAGGGATGGCATACTGTGCATCTTAAAGTACAATAGTGTGATATTTTTCCTAATATGGAATTATAAACTTGTACCTAATACTTCTGTTGACTATGTAAAAAAATGCTAATGAAATTGTGTTTCACACAAAAAAAAAAAAAAAAAAAAGACATGTCATAAACACTTGATTTAAGCATCAAATCATAAGATCTTTTCATTAAAAAAAATCAAATGTTAAAAACATGAAGTCAACTGAGACAAATGTGTTTCCGTGAATTTGGTTTTATATATATATATAAAACTGATTTGACTAAGTTATGCACTCAACACTTCTTCTCATAAGAGTGTGGGCGAAATGAACCAGGAGCTTTGGGCTTATGTAATAGTGTAGATGCTAAAACATCTTAAAATAGCACTCTGCACTACACGTCTGTGATAGTGTTGCAGTTATGTTGACGGACAAATGGGACTCGATTTTATTCTAACCCTTAAATGTACTACAGAATAAGTATTTAAAAAAAAAGTATAAAGCATATAATATTGGTACGAAGAATTGTAAGGTATGAGACACTATGAGACACTACCAAGGCTACGAGTACCAAGCTGAGCTCCATTTTTCCACTCGACACTCACTGTCCTTCGCTGGGTTATTTTACCCGTCACCTTATTTCTTGCTTTCATTTTCTCTCTCTCTCTCTCTCTTTCTCTATCTCTCTTTCTATCATCTAAATCGAGACCTCACTCCCAGTCCTTCTCCGATGCTTAGTGGCCCGACACTGTGTCGTGCTGTCCCTCATATTACCTATTTTTACAACAATAAAATAAAATGTTTTCTTAATTATTATTATTATTTTATATTATCAATATATTTGTTTATATCTATCTATAATGGGGGAAAATGCAATCTTAATCACTTAATCTTTAAATCTTGCACAATTGATTATTGAGATTTTTGCTTCTTAGTTTTTTCCTACTTGTTACTTTCTGTAACTCCAAAAAGTGAGTTGTTTTTTGTTTTTTTTTAAATAAACCAAGTGTGACATGCTGTTAAAAATAAACTGTAATATTGTGTAATGACTACACCCAGGAGTTAGCATCCAAAACTGCTTCTCTTGAAATGAAAAGGTTCTGAAAACCTGGGGTTGCCTCTTATTCCCAGCTAAGTATGTTCCTCCCCAATTTAGTGGATATTTGTGTGTATAAATGTTGTACTTTTGAGTAGCGCAGATGAAGCAAGGTCCGAAACTGCGAGTTCACCGAGGATTGTGTTCTCCTACTACTGCCAAAATTACAAATACCGTCTGCCTCTCCTTTCCTCCTGATCCTCTTTCCTTCCTTTATCCTTGCCCACTGCTTTCACCCTGCATGCCGGTCCTTTCACTTCTCGTCAAATGGATGGTTTATCTACAACCATTGTTTAAACTACTAGTGAGAGTAAATTGGCTGACAGCAGAGGGAGGAGATACATTATCGTGTGCGCTGGGAGGAGGTGAGAGGAGACTAGTCTGGGAAGCCCCGCCCCTCCTCTGAGCTGATTTCAGTCATCATAATGATAATGAACACAGCGCTGCGCGTGTTAGAGTACAGACGCACACACACACATTCACATATTTCTTCAACTTCAACCTTTTTCACGGGACACAGTGTCTCTCTGTCTCTTTACAAATGCACTCACATGCGCACACTGTATTGGAAGGAAGCGGGAAGTTAAGAGAAGAAGCGATATACGGGAAGGAATTTGTGTTCCATTGTGTTCCCTCTGTTTGACTGGTGCGGGTGAACAGAAGACATTCACCTCCCCTTCAGCCGCGGATTCTTGGATTAGTCCACGTGGGTGCACAGAGTGGGAGTTGCGGAGTGGACCAATATGGGGAACCAGGCGGGAAGACAGGAAGAGAAGGAGTCAGGTCTGCTTTTACCGTAGCTTGCTGTTGTTCTTTAGCATCACTCTGTTGTCTTTGCGTATTTTGTGTTTTGTCTGTGTTAATGTAAAATGTTTTTTTTTAATAAAAAGCACTAAGAAGTCAATAGACAGTCTAATGATAACTGATGGAGTTCCCATGTGAGTTGGTTGTAAGGATGTTCTGCTAGTATGGAAATGATGCGAGTATGATATTATCTGGTCTGCTGAGGTCGAGTCTCATAGAATAGGAATGTTTTTAATTTTTCTGTTAGAGACAATTGCATTAAGGTTTGCTTGTGTACATGCTGCGCATATGTTATCAAATTTGTTCAGAGGGAGAGAGAGTCGGGCAAGGAAAACACTGAGCCACGGGCCACACAAAGTGACTTGTCGGGCCACATTTGGCCTGCGGGCCTTGAGTTTGACACATGGACTAGTGTGTGTTGAAACGACGTAACTTCATTGAATTGACATTTGTATTTGGAGGATAGTGCTTAGCGGAATTGAAATGGACGGTCCTGCATGAGAGACTAGACATACTTGAAAACGATTAGCTTGTCCCTGTTTGTTTAGTTTAGAGTTGACTGTTTACCACACATTCAAGTTTCCAAGGCGATGGAATTCATTTCAATTCTGCTTCAAACAATGTGCACCTGTCAATTAACACGATTCCTCCTTCTTCTTGGTTCTTATTTTTATTTGCGTTTGTCTATTGCTTTGCCTGGACAGACGTGACTACCAGCAGTATATCATTGGATCAGGGCTTATGATGTCATTCACATTCACACGCCATAGCGACTAAGTGTTACAAGACCGAGACAGCTAGGCTTCATCGGACGGAGTTGGTGGCTAATATTAGCAAAACAAAAACCTGTGTGAAACGAGAAGGACCAAATTCAAACTCGATTGGTGGAAATGTCTTTGCAGGGAAAAGAAAAGGTCATTATTATGCCTCTATTTCATTTTATTTATTTATTTTTGTTCAATTTCATTTTATTTATTTATTTATTTTTAAATCCACAAGTGTTCGCTCATAAACACAAGCTAATGGAAAATATAAAGCTGATACTTCAAAAAAAAATGCATAAACTCTACTCAGAAGTGTTGAGGTTGGCCATGATATGCTGTGTTTTAACAGCCAATGGGAGGCTGTGGTTTCTGAAATGTTAATTGTCAAGGGATCAAAATCAAATTCCATAGATTAAAGGTTCTTGGAGGTTATTTTTAAAACGATGGCTTTATGGTTTAATAAATATTTTTTATAATAATTTTTCAGTTACCAGTTTAGGTAGTTTCTCTAAGATTGATGGACTTTTTCTTATGTATTCTTTTACCATTACTTAATTCTGGGAAGACTAGTAGTATTTGTGATCAACAGTTCTGGAGGTTTAAGGGAATTTCCTTTCTTCATAGTATAGCCGATCCTGTCTTACAAACTGAGAAAGAAGTGTCTTGGGTTACAGTGGTTCAGTTTGATATTTCATAATTTCTCATTTCTCTTACTAGTGGTTTGATAGTGATAGTGCCCGCCTCCGAAAGCAGAGAGCAGGTAGTTCACTTTCCAGAGGAACCATATACTGAGTGCCTGAAAGGGCAGCCTGTTGCAGCAGATCTGCTGTTAACACTAACGTGTCCTAAATGTGGGATCAAATTATTATTATTAGTTGTGTAAATGCTGCTTCTGACCATGACGCTATAGTCTGCAACAAGTTAAAGAATGCGGAAGTGCACATCTGCACCCTGTACCAGGGCATTGATGAAGGGCAGCGGTTTCACATTAGGAAACAACTGTGTTCACTTTCTGATAGTTGAGGAAGTGACGTTAGTCAAAATTTCCTTAGCAACACACAACTGGTACAATGGATACCATCAGCCACTAAAAAAGCACACACTGGTTACTTGTCCTGTTTTTGGTAACTTAAGGCCAAAGTCTTAGTATCGAAAGTTCATTCTTGGCGTCAAACATGGAGTAAACGAATTCCTATTCTAATTTTATTTTCAGTTAAATTAAGTTTTTCAAAAGGCAGGACTTTCTCTAATCAAATCTGCAATAATGTAAAATTAAAAAAAACAGGGACTTATACAGAATCAGATTTTCATTATAGCATTTCAAAAAAAAGTGTAATGTGACACACGCACGTTTTTTGGATTTTCATTATAGCATTTCAAAAAAAAAGTGTAACGTGACACACGCACGTTTTTTTTTTTTTTTTTTTCAAAACCCAAAGAAATCACTGAAAAGCAATCTCTTAACGCTTCTGCTCTTACATTCCAGTAATGGGAAAGGAATGCTTGAGTCAAAGCAACTGTCTGATATTTGCCAGTTGACTTAGTATGCTCTGTCTGTTGCACAGAGGAACAAAAGTGACAGAGACGAGCGTTCTCTTCACACGCACCCCTAATGAAACGACTTCAGTCCACCTTTTTCGCGTGAATTACAAGGTAGCACGTTGTGGCACAAATTTCCCATTTAAATGCCCATCGAAGATGAATACAGCAATTGATTGCAGTCAACACCTGCAGTTGAACATCGTGACTCACCAACAATGACCTTCCTGTTTTGAAGTGTGCCTGTGCAGATACTGGTTGCGTTTAACTGAAATGGTGTTTTTGGCATGCGCTGCCACAAAGCCTCTGCTGTGGATTTTGAATGCCTGTCCTCTTTAGAGAGAAAGAAGCTGAATTTTGTCAACTACACTGTGACCATGAAATAACTTAATGTGTTTGTGTCAGTCTCCCTGGTCAGGATTGTAACATTTAGCCGGCCATCTTTTAACCTATAAAGAACATAAATGCATTTTTTTTATTTTATCATTACGAGCAGAGAGTCATTTTATTTAAATGGCATTTTCTCTTTCATTCATTTAGAACATTATTTAACAGGTAGTATTTGACAGTGTGTGCGATGTTCTATGAATTACAGCAAGCTGTTTTATGACCAACCGAAGTAGAAGTGCTCACCAGAGAGCAATTTCACTGCTGGCTGTAATAGATTTAGTGCTTCGTAGATGTAACTACAAACGGTTACCAAAGACAGTGCACATAAATTGAGGCAGAATCTTATCTTAGTCTAAGTGGTACGGGCAGGTTCATTGTGAATAATCTCGTAGTCCGAGACACAAAAAAAAAACCCCAATATAAATTCATCTGCAGTTTAAATTTAATCAAAACAACCAAAACCCCAATATAAATTCATCTGCAGTTTCAAAACAACCAGTAATATTCTTTGGCCTAATGTCTGCATTATGGAAAAATGTTGTGAACAACTATTTACAAAAATATCAGTTGGGCTTAGTTATGAACTTGTGATTTTTTTTTGAAGTGAAACTTCAGGTTATTAATAGCACATTTTTTTCTTACACTACATACTTCGTAATAAAAACATAAAAATCAATGTGTATAGAAGGTGGGGTTAATAATATAACCACACGAGAAATTAAATTTGAAATAAAACACACATCAGTGGTATTCGTTTCTTATATGTCTCTTTATCTGTAGCCTTTCGAGTTCCTTCCAACAAAAAAATGTATGTCCTAAAACATGGCGCATACACTGCTAACGCTACAAGTCCTGCCAGTATATATGCGGGCCAACTCTAATACGCATTTGATGATCTCGCGGGCCAAATATAATTACACTGTGGGCCAGATTTGGCCCCCGGGCCTGAGTTTGGTACGTGTTCTAGAAGGTTGAATACACTGTGAGCCAGATTTGGCCCCCGGTCCTGAGTTTGGCACGTGTTCTAGAAGGTTGAAAAACTCTGTATTTAGAAGATAACCAGCTTCTGTGATATTCAAAATATTAGAATGATACTTTTTATCTGATTGGGATTGGTTAAGCTCATCTTGCAGTGAAATTCAAAGTTGCCAACTCTTTAATCATTTTCACATTTTTCTGTCAAGATTACTTATTTCAAATATATTTACTCTCAACCCCAAATGAGGTATTGTATGTCATCGTTTGGAAAAAAAAAAACATGTACCACATTACTTTACAGAAGCTTTGGTGACCCCCAAAAAAGGATTTTATCAGTTCTTTCAAAAAAAAAACATGTACCACATTACTTTTGCTTTGGTGACCCCTCACGAAAGGATTTTATCAGTTCTTTATTTCTTTTATTCAAAGCACTTATTTTTCCGACCACAGCTGCACCCTTAGGAATGTTAAACCACTTTGTTTCTATGATAAAGTGTCAGTGTTGGCAGCTTCTGACATAGACTTAAGTTTATTTAATAAAAAAAAGATCAGTGTTTATCAATGACAGAGCACTTTAACAAGACAGAATGTAACATTTCCATTCCGATCGAGGCCATTTGTGTGTGTGTGTATGATGTCTGTGTCCACACTTTCTCAGTGATTCTCTGTCTGTTTCCTTGTGCAGGCTGCCTGTCTAGCCTCTGCTGCAAGAGCATGATTGTGACGGAAGACAGAGCGTTCATTGTCTGTTCGCTACCCTAGCTGTATTGTTCACTAATTCGCAGTTTGCCCGAGCGATTTTGTAGTTGTCATGCCTCAGCTACCCCCCTGTGCTGGGAGGCTGTTAGCTGCTTAAGTAAACAAATAAAACAAATATATGGGTTATATGAATGTCTTTGAAATAACTCGTTTAGGCTATGCTGAGACAGTGGTTGGCAGAAAACAGTGCTAAGTTTACCAGAGGTGTTCTGTATGAGAAAAAGGTGAAAAAGTTTTTTTTTTGTTCTTGCTTGATGTTAGCAAAGACAAATGGTGCTGTAATGGTTTTTTTATGAGAAAAAAGTGAAAAAAAAAAATTGTTTTTTTTTTTTTTTTTTTTTTTTTGTTCTTGCTTGATGTTAGCAAAGACAATTGGTGCTGTAATTCTCTGTCAAATATCAAAAATTAATTCACAATACATATATTTTCTGTTTAACATATGCATTCTTTCATTTATCTGACGAGAAATCAATCATAATTGTCCTTCTACATCACACCAAGGTTTAATTATAGAGCGCACTATTTACCCCACTGCTGGAGCTCACAAGAAATAGGTTTCGAATCATGATAAAGCCCTTTATTTAATATCAGTAAGAGCTGCTGCATTGTGTTGTGACTTATAGGTGAATGTTTTAGTCGTTCTTGACGCAGTTGAAGTTGGTTCTGGAAGAATTGGAGGTCATTATGTTAAGTGCAGTAAAAGCTTTCCAATAAGAGAATTTCCCATTCTGGTTATGGACACTGAAATGCCCCCAATGTGTTGTGGTAGGGTCTGGGAGATGGATAAGACTTTCACTGCAAATGCCCTAAAATGCATCCCAACACCAACAGTATGCGCTTCTTGTTTTTAGGTGCTCAAGCACATAAGAAGTCTGGAATACCAGCCCCTAAAGAAATCCACTCCATTATGACAAGAGACAGGATTCCATTGAGGGATCAGCTGAGGAGCTCCTCTACAAAGAAAATGGTTTCTAGTGCCAGCACTTCCAGCCTCTCCTCCCTGGCAAAACAGACACGTAGTTCAACTAAGACTCGGGGAGATACAGAGGGCCAGGAACGGGGAAGTTTGGAGTGCCAGGTGAAGGAGCTTCTGGCTGAAGGCAAAGCAAAAGACTCAGAGATCAGCAGTCTCAAGATGGAGCTGCAGCGTTGCAGAGGTAAATCCTCTTCTGCCTCTGCTTTGTCCTCTCCTACTGCCGTCTCACAGCAGAAAACTGACGATAAAGAGCATGGTCAAGTGGTGGAAGCCATTGTTCTAGTTGGTGAACTCAAGGAGAAAAATGGGAAGTTTCAGAAAGAGCTGGCAGCCCTCAGAGAGGAGAACCATGGGCTAAAGGAGAAGCTGCTTGGCTTGGAATCTTCCCAAGGTTCCAGTTCAAACACCACTTTGAAGCTTTTCGTAAATGGCCTGAACTCCGACACCAGCTGTTCGCCACCACAAAATACCCCCCCTTCGTCTGGCAGCCCAACTAAAACCTCTGTCTCTCCCAGCTCAAGAGATTCGAAGGACTCTCTGTCGTGTAACCCCTCTGAGTTTGAAAAAATCCCGTCATACTCGGAGTCAGTGAGCAGTGATGTCAGTGCTGAGGCTCTCACTGCAGGGGTGGTTAATATCACAAAGGGTAAAAATATGTCCGTGCAGAGCTTAACAGAACAGATTCACAAGATGGAGGAAAACCATCATAGTACATCAGAGGAACTGCAGGCAACATTGCAGGAGCTGGCGGACCAGCAGCAAGTGGTACAGGAGCTGACAGCTGAGAATGAGCGACTTGCCGAGGAAAAACGACTATTGCAGACCTCGCTTCAACAGCGGCGGGAACACATGGAGGTGCTGGCCCAGAAGAATGAGGCGCTGGCTGTGCGACTTCAGGAGCAAGCAAACACTCATGCCGAGCGGGAGGAAGAGTTGGGTAGTCAAGGACCTCGGCTGGCTGAGTTAGAGCAAAGGTATGCTGAGCTGGTGGAGAGCTCGCGCTTTGAACGGGAAAAATTGGTGGCCATTCAGCAGCAGCTCACCGGAAGCCTCAGGGCTTTGGAGGAAGAGCACCAGCTGACCCAAGGCCAGGTGCGTGGCCTAAAAGAGGAGGTGGACAGATTGCAGACCCAGCTGGACAGAGAGCTGAAAGCAGGAGGTCACGCAACTCGAGTGGCAGAGGAGCAGAAGGCAGCGGCAGAAAGCCTCAGACTTGAAAACAGTAGACTGAAGGCGCAGGTGGACATTGAAAGACAAAAGGTGGGGGAGCTTAAGGCCATGCAAAGTGCCAGTGACAGCACTGAGCTGCAAAACCTGTTGAAGACAGCCCACGCTGAGAGAGACAGGCTGGAAGTAGAGCTGACAGAGCTGAGACAGGAGCTGCTGAAGTCCAAGGTTGAGACTGACCACTTACAGACTTCCTTGTTCAAGGTAGGTGCTATACAGTACATCTCGTACATCTCATTTTTCAGTTCAGTACAAGTCATGACATGGCTCTTT